TCTGAAAACTGAATTAGCATTTAAAGATCAGTGAGTATTGTCAATCTCACTATGATGAATTTATCTTACATTTGCACATATGAAAGGATTTTACATATAGTTAGTTATAGCAAAAGGAATGAAAATAACAGAATTGACTCTCTATATGGGTTAGGTTAAATAAGTTAAAAGTGCACTCCAGCAATGGAGTACTTGTTAATCCTCAGATTTATGAGAGAAAGACCAGTTCCACAATTTTGAGACATGTGAAGTCAGCTTTAATTAAATACTGACCAGGATGAACTCTGGTCAGGTCCATTCTAGGATTCCCAGGAAATAGCCATGAGTCACATTTTGTGGGGCTTTTTAAAAAGACATAATTCTCTGCATTTCCCAACAGGTCCAATCAGGGGAAAGTATTTCCTGCCTATGTACCTCCCACCTACATGTGACCAAGCACATCTGGTAGTTAGTTCAAACAAACTTGTTTAGAGGAGTGAACACGTGGCTGGTTATTCCTCCCAAGAACTGTAGCTCCCAGCATTCTAGAAAATGCAACATCCCCCAAACTAGAAAATAAACAGAGTGCAGTTAAAAACCATTCATAAAACAGCACTATACACAACAAGTATAGTGTGAAGTAAAGGTTATAGAATTCTACAAACACTGTGAGGAAATAACATACACACATGCATGTATGTGTGTGTGCAGAATATATCTGTTGAAAAAACAGCTAGAAATAGGAAGGAAGAATGGGGACAATTGGAGGAACAGAAGGAGGGAGGGGTCTGCATCCTTTCATGTCTTCTATATCTGCCAACATGAAATCACTTTCTAGTAAAATTACATGAAAATACAAAACTTTCAAAATATATTGGGAATAATAGGAGAAATGGGCTTAAGAAGAACAGACTTGAAAATAAAGATAAATTCTATTCCTTTATCTTTTTTTGTGCCTTTTATAATATATTGTAGAAATTTGGGAATGTGAGAAGACCAAAATCCCTGCATTTATAAAGTCTAGGGAAGGATATAAGTGAGGGTGATCCAGTCTGTTCAGAATATTCTGGCAAGTTCAGGTTGTCAAGGCTACAAGAGCTTATCCAGGCTGAGATCCCTTAGGTAGGGAAACTGACATTCTATCGAAGAGGTTGACCATTTCGCAAGCAGATACTCTTGCTTGCTGGGCATATGGCTTGTAATAAGCAAGTTTTTTATACATTTGGTCTGAACTGAGTAAATGACCAGAGCAGATACTGTAAGAAAGAATGAAGTGTCATTTGCTTTACAAGAGAGCACCTTTGTGTTTTTGCACTACTGTTAACTGGAGACAATGAGCAAATACGATGCTTTAAATAGCAAATTTCCACTAAGAAAACTTTAATGGGGTCTGCTTATGTTTTATATGTCAGCAGGTCAGCTTATGCTCCTGTCCACTTTTTATATTAGTTTGATAATTCCATTTTATTATAATGATAACTGAAGCCAGGTCACCATCTTACAGTACATATTGCAGTACTTAGTTGTAAATACCTAACATATGTGAAGATTTGTTCTGTTTATTTCTCTTCTAGGAAAGTTGGGAAAGAGAGGTGTATGTGAGGGGCTCAGTAAAGAAAGCTCCACTCCATGGTTAAGTGGGAGGTTTTTATTATGGATAAGAGAAAGAAAATATCCAGAGTCCTCTGGAAGAGTAAGAAGCAAACTGGGCTGGCTAGGGCTCTCTGTCAGGGAAGGGAGGATAGAGGGACTCAATAGTGGGGACAGAGTGGCAAAACCTTGCCACTATAAAAACAAGCAGAGTTTCTTGGGGTTAGCATAGTTCAGGCCCGTGGGGGAGGTGAGAAGGGCCAGGAGACTAGTGTAGGGACTTTGAAATGTATAACGGGTATTTGTGACTAGGGACTGGAGGCACCTGGATGCTAGCATAGACCTTGATACTCTGATAGCTGCCATAGGTATATGTACATGGAGAAACGTATGTCCCCTTTTGCCAGAGGCAGGGAAATGACTCCTTTTGATAGATGGGAATACATTTCAAGTTCCTGAGGAACCTTCGCTCTATCTAAGCCCCAGAAATCCTATAGTCCAGCTTGAGCTATTTCTGGGTATATGTACTGCCTGAGACCTAACATCCCAGCCTTTTGTTGATAAGCTGCTACTGGTCTCTTCTGTAGCTGCTTCGCAGAGGTGGGGTGGGGGTGGAAGTGGAGGTTATATGAAGAGGGACATTTTGGTGGCCCAGGAAGCTGAAGAAACAGGGATCAACCCCATTGACTGAACAGGTCTACATCAGTGACTGATTTACATCAGCTTTCAAAAGTCCAGGGCTTGCTGATTTTGCAGGACCACCTGGGGCTAGCAAGATGAGCTCATTTTGGAGCAGTTTGCAGGGCCATAGATGATTCCTGGATGGTATCTGTCAGATGAGTGAATCTGCTGGGAAAGGTATAGACTAGAAACAGAAGGCATTAGCATCAGTGTAACCTGCACTGAAGTTCTCATTGTAGAAAAGTAGTTATCAAGTGTCTGCAAACAGCTGGGGTAGACTCAGGCCTTTGAGCTGCAACAAAACAAAGCCTGAGAAGTTATCAACATGATACAAGTATAGACATTCATTTGTCACAGGACAGAAGTTTCCTGGCAGCAAAGAGAACAAGGAGAGCTTAAGGGTCCAAAAGATGGTTCTGGAATAAAAGCAGCTAAACTCTTTCCTCTGTCCGGAGGATAGATACACATTGGGTAGAGCTATTTCTAGCACCATGAGAAGCACTTTTAAGTCTATATTTAGAAAACTACCAAAGGAAATTTACAATCTCAAGCCTGGGACAATAATAATAGTCATTGCTTTACCAAGGCTAGATTAATAGCTTACCAGACCTCCATTTATGAGTATTAGACCCTGAAGTTTTGAAGTCTTAACATCATATGTGTCATCTTTAAGTCTCATTTTTCACATGCTTTACATCACTCCCTCAGACCTTCACAACTTGCATTTACACACCTTAAATCACTTCCTTAGACCTCTGCAATGGACATAAACCTTAAGGTTTTAGTTTTCCTTTCATCTGGAAGCATCCAATCATTCACCATGAGACATAGGTGGTTGATTATTGAGAGCAGTCATTGAAAAGCACATTCTTTTAAGTAAAGGAAGAGTAAAAAGCAGTTTTTCAATCACTAACACCAGCATGATAGCTTGAGTTCGCTTCCATTGACACTTGTCTGTGAGTTTGTCTTTTCTGGGCAGGAGGTCTACCAACTTGAGGAAAAAAGGGAAACCTGTGTGTGAGTATATCTGTCACAGTAGGAGGCCTGCCAGCAAGGTGAACCTGTCTATGAGTTTACCATCTCAGTAGGAGACCCTGTAGCTCTATGAAAACCAAGGCCTGGTTTTTGAATATGAAATCAATTCAGACTGACAGGTAATTTTGTCTTAGTCTTAAAGCCTTTTCATTTAAGAGACTCAGGTAATTTAAGCTTTTAAAAAGTTTTAAAATTTGTCTAATCAGCAAGTAACATGTTCATCCTTTGCACTCAAGGTTACTAAAAAGCCTTACTGTTCTGAAGGCGAAAGGAAACTTTCTGGATATGAAGGGACTGACTGGGCAGGGTAGCCTTGGGTGTAGGAGTGGGCAAGACTGCTAGACTCTTAATCGAGGGTCTCCAAGGTGAGACTCCCCATCAATGGCATCACAGAGCTTGAAAATAATACATTTGAGTAGGAATTGTAGACTAAGTGGCTTCTGTATCTATTAAAACAACAGAGACTCACTTGCTACCTGGACAGCCAGCCTGGAATCTTCCATGGTGATCTCAATGGGTTTGTTGAGGACAGAGACAGTTTGCCCTCAGCTGCCGCATAGCTTAGCATCAGCCTTCAGCTGCCAGACCCATAAGATCTGAGAGACTTTTCTGTGGCGGAGAAACTTGGGGTTCTGGCCTACCTTAAAGGGGCAGAGTAGGGCAGTCAACCCAACAGTGTCCACTTTGGGCAGGGTCCTTGGTGGTAGTGATCAGTGTCATGACACTCAAAGCAAGTCCAAGTGGAATACCTGATTTTAAAAAAAAAAAGTTTACCTGTTTTTAATTACTTGCTTCAGGCTTAACCTTGACAACATACACAGAAGGCAAAAGCTTGTTCCTGTAAATAAATTGCATTTGTCCTTAGCACAACTATAAGCACAGTTCTGAGCATATTAAAGAATTTGATCATTAACTGGCATGTCATTAGTGTCTTTAACAGTTTACAACAAGTTTGTAGCTTTTATGAGATTAGTATTTCACAGTTTTATTCCTTTTAAATTTGAGCCTTAAAAATTTGAACTTAAGATTCAATCAAAGATCCTTTAACATCAATACAACTTTAATTAATACAGTCATTAATACAGTCCACAGAGAGACCAGGAACTTTATTTTCTTGGTCTTTTCATTGTGTTCAGTTATATTTAAAGACTTCTCCTACAGCCATATGTGTTAGCCTGAAAAACCCATGGTACAAGTTGAGTATGGTAGTTCATATAATCGGAGTCATTTGGAGACCAAGGCCAGGTTACTGTGGTGATTTTTAAGTCAATCTGTGCTACATAGTGTGTTCCAGATTAGCCTTGGCTGTGGTATAAGACTCTCTGTCAAAAACAATTTTTTTTTTAAGTTACGGCTCTTCTGACACAGCCATGTAATAATTTCTTAGAAATTACTTAAAATTTTGGTATTCTGCTTAAGAACAGATCATATTCATTGAGTTGTGACTGCCTTTTTAAATAATACCTTCAGCCCTCTGAAAAGTGTGATCTCCCAGGGAAAGAGGAAGGTGGCACAAAGTTCCAACTTGGAGAGTTTCTGCCTTCACACTACCCAGCAGGATTAGTGGCTTCCATAAGACAGACTAGGTGCTGGCCAGGCACACGGAGAGACTCTTGCCTTCAAAGCACTAGAGATGACTGCTGGGGCAAACATGGAACTGACCGTTTCTCCCATAGACCTAATTAATGTCTCTGTTTCCTGTATTTCTGTTTTAGAGCATTGTGTGTACCGGCCGGCGTCAGTGGCACCCAGATCCCTCCCTGGTCTACTGCATCCAGTCATGTGAGGTATGTGAGCTTGACTTCCCCAAGCCATGTGGAGAGCTTCAAGTAATGTGAGTCGCTCCAATGCAAGACCCTGTTCCTCCTGATCCCTCTTTTCCTCATTTAGTTTCTTAAATGTAGCTGCCTCCCAATCCCAAACTTACAGAAGTTAGGATTTCTGAACTCAGTTTTATTTTAGTAAAATCTTCAGTCACTCAAAAGGCAAGCCAGAATTATTTATGGCTTTGGGATTCTGTAACTAGGCCTTGGTTGGAATTAGTTAAATAAGGATTTTACTATAGACAATTTTGTTCAGCCAGCACAGTGCTTAAAACAACTTTGGTGTGTGTGTGTGTGTGTGTGTGTGTGTGTGTGTGTGTGTGTGTGTGTGTGTATGTGTGTGTATATGTCAATATTTAAAATTGAGATTGTGTGTGTGTGTATGTATTTATGCAGACAGAGTATTATACTCCAGCCACAATAGCCCAGACTAGACCTTATGGTAACCCTTCTGCCTCAGCCTCCTGAATGCCAGGGTTATTTGTAGGCAGGAATCACCAGGCTTGGATGATAATTGAGATTCATATGTACTTACATAATATCATACATATACATATTACAAATTAAAATAAATATAAAAATCTTTGTGTAAAGCTTTTTTCCCCTCACAAAACAAGAATATCTAGAGGGTTCAGCCACAATTAGCTAGACTTGAATAACAGAGCAGTTATCACTCCAGTCAGCATGTGGTTTACTTCTTCCTGGGGTCCCTTTTATGAGGCTTCCCTCCTTTGCATCAACTGCAAGGTCATACAAGTGTCTAAGCAGCCTTCTAGGTACACCTATATTCCACCATTGAGTGGTCTGACCTAGATCTTTACTATATCAAGAAATCCCATCTTCCTCTTCCTGCAGTGGGTCCCCCTGTCAGTGGTCACTTCTGGTACAATGACTTTTTAACCTAACAAAGAAGAGTCTAGAATGAATCAGAGCATTGCCTAGAGAGTGACCTAAGAACCCTCTGACACTGAGAAGGAGCATACATACATAGCCCATTTAGGTAAACCCTCCAATCCTGGGAACAGCCAGTGACAAGAACAAATAGTCTAGGCACTGCCCTGTCCAGCATGACTGACTGCAGGGAAGGTCCTGACTGAGGTGGAGAAAGGATGAAGAAAAAACAGACAGACAGACAAACAGACAGACAGGCAGATACATGGATGCACAAAAAAATTGGCATCAGATGGGTAAGGATCTCTGATGGAAAAGCTACAGGACACTGAGAAACTCAGCATGTTTATTATATAGGGTTCAATAAAGAGGTGGGGTTATTTCAACTGAACAAGGAGGCAGAGTTTATGATACACAGCTGGATCAAGGGGACAGGTTTAGCTAATCTCAGTAGGAGCAGCCTCTGTAGGGGAGCAGGGGAGAGAAAGCCGGGGTGCACATTTTCTAGACACAGTTAACACTTACACTTCATTCTCCCTGAAAGGCTTTGCTACCCCATCTTAGTGGCCGTGGCCATATCAGCAGCACACATTCACTCCGGACTTCACTCACTCAGGGCTTTCTCCACTCCCTACAAGTCACTGCAGATTTATTCATCCAAATCTCTCTTTGGAAGTTAATAAGCCACTTTGCAGCACTGCCCAGATATTTTTGGCTCCTTGGAGTGTACTAAAGAGAGCGCCTTTAACTGCCATTGATTTCCAACAGTCCCTTCAAGCACACCCAACCTGCATGCAGGCATGCGTGTTAATCTTCTAATCTGTATCTCAGAGTCTCTTGATCTAATTCTGGGAAACTGGGATCCACATGAGGCCAGGGAAAGGGAAAGGGTGCGGTTTAAGAGAAAGGAGAAAACTTGGTGGAGAAAAGATACCCATAAAATAGCATTCTGAGGATGCAGGAAGGCTCATGCTAGCGTGGAGTGTGCTGTATTGTGGTGCGGGGCCAACAGAACAGCTCATCTTCTGCCATCATTAGAAAAACAGATGGTGGTGGGGTGGGGTGGGGAAGCAAGGGGAGGCAGTGAATCATCCACTGGGCAGGGGGTGATGGGGAGAGAGGAGGCCAGGGAAAGAGGGAGATAAACAGACAGAGGGCTTAGGGAGCTGGACAGAGATCAAACAGATCCTGAGAGTTCCCTTCTGCTGTTTCTACGCATCATCACAAGTACGAGGGTGGATGTCAGGGCTTGGAGCTGGGCTGGCTTCAGTGCTTTCCAGAAGGTTACAATACAGAGCTTTCCACGCTTGTCCTTTACCCTGGCCTGTACCCCAGCATACCCTCTAGATTGACCTATTAGCCAGAGCTTCTTAGGTAGCTACGTTCTCTTTGAGGATGCCACAAGAAGTAAAGCTCTCTTCTCCCTGCTTGTTTTCCCTCACCCACTGGGAAACCCAGACCCTCTGATTGACAGTTCAGTGGTTCTGTGTGACCCCTGATGAATAGCTTTGTCATCACCTGGGGACTCAGTAGCCTGCATCTTCTTAGGTCCACTCTACACCCACTGCATTGCAAAGTGCACAGGGGACCAGCAATCAGCAAGGGATTCTGAAGGCCACTGTGGAATCCTAACACCCACTATCTCAACCCCTGGGAGAAGGCTAGAAAATCACTTGTCTGGGCATCCCCATGTTGAAGCTTTCTTTACCCAAAATAATGACATTCTCTTCCCCACCCCCATATGTGTGCGCGTGTATGTGTGTGTGCTGGGGGTGATATATGTGTGTACTCACACGCATCTGGCTACACATGTAGATGCAGGACAGAGAGTAATATTGATGTCTTCCTCAATAACTTTCCATGTTACTTTTGGAGACAGGGTCTCTTACTGAACCTCAAGTTAGTTGATTACACTGTCTAGCTAATCAGCTTCAGGGATCCACCTCTCTTTGCCTCCTGGATTACAGGTGCATGTTGCCACACATGGCTTTTTAATGGGTGCTAGGGATCTGTCTGTATTCAATTGCTTATGCTTACACAGCAAGTTCTTTCCCAAGACATCTCAGCCTCAGACTTAATTCTATATGTTATTTACATTCTGATTACCCTACACTACTCTGAATAGTCTATACTCTTATTTCCAGGTTCTCTGGGTTAGGAGAGGCTTAGAAAACTGGCCATTGGTTTTTATTCTTTCAACCAAGACAAGAGAGAAGAAAGACCATGTAAAGAGAGGAGGGAAAAGCAGAGAAAAGCAGAGTCAGCAGGACCCATAGGAAGGAAGAGAGACAGCAGAGGAGAGGAAGAAGAATGTCCCTGGAGACACAAGCAGTGAGAGATACAGAGAGGGGAGGTGGGGACCAGGAAGAAAGAAGAGATGGTGAAACTGGCCAGTTCCTGATGCAACTTGGCCAGTTCTTAACACTTTACTGGAAAAAAACTAAACATGTTAGCATCAGAGGCAAATAGAGGGAAAACAGACCCAGAGTCAAGAAACAGAGGGCTGGCTAGATGAGAAATTTTGCAAAGCACAGTGTATAATCTGTACTGAAATTAAATACATTGTGACCCATAATCTAGATGGAATTCCATTTTTCAATCCAGTACTAAATATTGATCTGAACTGTCCCCCTGGAGCCGCTCAGCCTTGTACAAGTGTGCCTCATGCATTTTTCTCCTAGTGACTCAAAGCAGCAGCCTCATCCCATCGCCTCATTGTCTCCAGCCTGTAGTGTATCAGTGCCAACAAAGTAACTTATTTCCATCACTTCTCTCTCCTGTTCCACAGTACTCTTGTCATCCATTCTCTACCATTCTGTGCTTCTCACGTTCTTAAGAGGCACCTTCAGGAATTCCTCTAAAACAACCAACCAACCAACCAACCAACCAACCAACAAAAGCTATCAAAGCCACTCCATCTCCTTATGACTTGTATTCACACTATATCCAGTAGGAGGCAAGTGCACTGCAGATCTGTAGCCCAAGTTTGCTCATCTTCAAATTCTATTTCTCTAGTTGCTTCATGCATTTGGCCTTCTTGACCTAAATTGTTTCTTGTTTTTATATTTCATTTCATGAGTTATAAATGAACAAGAAATGGCAAGCTGGCTAGAGGAAACGTTTAGAAATCAGGTAACTCTAGATTTAATTTCTGGGTCAGCTAGTAGTTTGAACTTCAGAGTCTTGATCTGAAGTAGCACGTGAACACCAAAGTAATTTCAGGGTGTTATTGACTATTCATAAAATCCTATGTGCTGTGCCTGACGCATAATGCATTCTTATGGTGGTGTTATTGTTTGCAATGTGTTAGCTACCCCATTAATATTTGCTCAGCGAGCAAAGCCTAAATTAGAGACAATTCTGTTCGTATGATTGTAACATAATTAGATATGAACCCTGAAGCTGAGAAAAAGGTAAGCAAAGGAAAACAGGATGCTCCCATAGAGAGCCATGGAGATGTATAAATCACAAATCACTTAGGGACAGTGGCCATTATATCCAATCAGTTATTAGATCAGCTTGTTGTCAGATCATTCTGTGAGTCACTCTCCTTCTTTATCCTTCCACTTGTCCTCTTAACTGGAGTCTAATCAGTTTTCTCAAATGAGCTAATACAGTAGATTCCTAATTGTTCTCCTGCTTCCCAGACCTGTGCCCAACAACTGCCTTCACATTCTACACTGCTACTACAGTATTCTTCTATTGTCCACTTTTTCCAAAACTGTCCTAGGAAGTCCCTATCATTTTCACACTTCTGTCTGTAATGAGCAGGTGTCTAGTCAACAGGCCTTTCTCTCGCAGACACATGTCTGTTCTAGTCCCTGTGTGAATTCTGTACCTCAGACGTGAAAGGTTTTATGTCATATGGTATTCTAAAATGTGCATGGGCTTTGCACTCTGGGTTCACTTTGGGGATTAGATATTTGTTCCACTTGCTGGATGACTCTGGACAAATGCTGTTGCCTTTGTGCCTCACTACCCTCAATTGAGGCCTAATAGGATTTGTCAAAATAGTTTTCATGTAACATCTATTGTAAAGTAGTTGTGAAGATAAATGAGAAGCCATGGGTGAT